ACTGGCCCATCTAACCAGCAGCAATTCCACAGTTGGCCCATGTGACTGGCCCATCTAACCAGCAGCAATTCCACAGTTGGCCCATGTGACTGGCCCATCTAACCAGCAGCAATTCCACAGTTGGCCCATGTGACGATCTAACCAGCACATTCCACAGTTGGCCCATGTGACTGGCCCATCTAACCAGCAGCGATTCCACAGTTGGCCCATGTGACATCAGCCTCAGGCCTGGTCTTCTGAAGATGATCTAAGCCAGCAAACCTTTCATCGTATGAAGGTTCATATCATGAAAACACAAAGGTTCACCATCTCACGTCACAAGTCATAGAAGGTACAGGGGCTGCTGCTGTCGTTCATTCTGTGAATTCCCCATATTGTAGGGTGCATATGTTGGGGATATATAAATATTGATATTAGATACAGTAAGCGTATATGGAAGTCCTCGGGTAAATCTCTTGTTATAACCGCCATGATTTCCAAGTGCCTGTAGAGGGATGGAGCCCTCTTACAGGACATTTTGCTCCATTTGCCTGTCTGTTTATCTAAGATGGGCATCTCCCCCCCTTTGTGTCTGCGCTGTTATTGGAAGTGTTACATTACACATCCAGCTTCTGCCCGGCATGGCTCCCTGGGGGGCTCATAAACAGCGAAGGTTGTGACCTTGTCAGTGGATGGGACATTGTGTCATTCTTCTGACAGAGACATCTGATGTCAGCACTGGGGCACAGGGTGCCTGTCCAGTAGGATGTGGTGTTCTATTCATGATGGTGTGGCTGCTGGACAGTCCTGTGATTCCCTGCTTCATCCTGTCCTGTGAGGGCATTCAACATGCATTCATTCTTAATGGCAGCACAAAGTACCCTACCATCAGACAAGTATTGCAGCGTACCAAAACATGCAATAACACATTACCATACCTTGTGCTTTGCTGCAGAAAAAAATGCACTTTTTTTGGTGAGTTTTGGTGCATTAAGCAGTCCATTAATTTGAATAAACTGACATATGCACCAAAACTCACCAAAAACACACTTGTGTTAACGCACCGCAGAAATGTGAATGCATCCTAAGAGCAGGGAATACTCTGTTCAGTTCTATACATTTCCCATTAAAGCAAAATAAGTCCCCTAATAAGAGTTTCTGCAATTCACTGCTGGCTGATTCTAGAGAGCTCCATACATGTGAGCTGGGTGAGTCTGCTTCCTATGTCTGTGTTCTGATTGATGGGTCAGTTACTAAATTCAGAGGTCTGTATGATTGGTGGTTAGAAGTTTCTCAGTGCTGACATTTCTGTATGTGAGAGAAAAGGAGCCTGCAGGGAGTGTCAGAGAATTCCTGTCCTCTGTTACAAGCTGGGGTTCCCAGATCATCATTTTATAGATAAAAGAAATGGGGGTAGATTGGGGCACTACAACGTCATCTGGATGAAATGCTGAGGCCCGAAGCAGGTTGGATTTGGTCCCTATACACATCTGAAAGATTTATTTTTAATGTTGAGTTCAATGTGAGTTTTAAATAATTAACTGCAGCTAGATTAATGGAAGGGCCAAAGCCTCTCGGCATACTATTCAGTGCTGTGCAACCTCCCTCTCATGCTCCATTGCTAATATTATGCTCAGAGAGTTGGAACGCACAGGCTGTGATTTCATAGGCTCTGATGCCATGTGGTCATTTAGCAAGTCCACTGGGTAGATGAGACCACTAGTAAACAGACAGAATTGTACGATTGTCCTTACCACACACCCACAGACAGCCAATCAGCAGACAGGCTGCATCTCCCAGGTCTAATAAATTACAAAGTGATCATGTTTGACTGGAAAAGTGAACTCCACTCATAACAAACATTTCATTTTTATGTGAATGGTATTTAGGATCATTAAAGTACTACTGTATGTTCCAAGGGTCCCTAATTATTCTCCACCTAGAAATAGATTAGCAATGCTGAATGGAGGGAATATTTAAAGGAGGCCTCCAGGTCTGTATTTTGTAATAAGTGGAAAACTGCACCCCTGCTGGGAACTGACTTGTAAGCTTCAGCACTGATACTTCACAGCTGATGAAGGTGAAGGGGCTTGCTGTGTGCACTGTTTCTGGCTAATCCCATTGCTGTGTCCCTGGCAGAGCTGTACATGGCGGTGTGAAGTGTACCACTGGTAGGATCCTCTGTGGCCATCCTGTGCTGCACACTGTGTTCCTCTCTGTGTATGCAGGTCGGTGACCACAACCAGGCCAGGGTGTCAGTACTGCACAGAGTGACCTGAATACCCTTGTGCAATGTTGCCGTCCGCGGCCTATATCTCTGCTCTACTTACACCTTCCGGGTAATTACACCTCCCTCTAGCCCCCACCCAGGTCTGACTGTTTACCATGATGGCCCTCCTGTGCCAAACCTCAACATTAACTGTGATAGTCTTTTCTTCTTGTTTGTCAATCCTCCAGCCACCTCTGGACATTAACACAAAGGTTCCACTGCCTGACGAAACAAGCCAAACACGGGGGTCTCACTATGTAGGCTTCAGAACACATCTCTGCATCAAAGGAGCTTACACTCTAATATCCCTACTAGTTACACACTAATATTATACATTTATACACTGCTCAAAAAAAGGAAGAATTTTTAATCAGAGTATAGCATCAAGTCAATTAAACTCCTGGGATATTGATCTGGTCAGTTAAGTAGCAGAGGGGGTTGTTAATCAGTTTCAGCTGCTTTGGTGTTAATGAAATTAACAACAGGTGCTCTAGATGGGCAATAATGAGATGACCCCCAAAACAGGAATGGTTTTATAGGTAGAAGTCACTGACATTTTTTCCATACTCACCTTTTCTGACTGTTTTTCACTAGTTTTGCATTTGGCAAGAGTCAGTGTCACTACTGGTAGTATGAGGTGATACCTGGACCCTACAGAGGTCGCACAGGCAGTCCAACTCCTCCAGGATGGCACATCAATACGTGCCATTGCCAGAAGGTTTGCTGTGTCTCCTAGCACAGTCTCAAGAGCATGGAGGAGATTCCAGAAGACAGGAAGTTACTCTAGGAGAGCTGGGCAGGGGCCGCAGCAGGTCAGAATCTGCTCCTATGTGCAAGGAGGAACATGATGAACACTGCCAGAGCCCTACAAAATGACCTTAACCCATCAACAAGACTGGTATCTGCTCCTATGTGCAAGGAGGAACATGATGAACACTGCCAGAGCCCTACAAAATGACCTCCCTGGCTAGTGGTGTGAATGTTTCTGGATGAAATCCTTGGACCCATTGTCAGACCCTACACTGGTGCAGTGGGGTCCTGGGTTCCTCCTGGTGCATGACAATGCCCCTGGCCATCATGTTGCGAGAGTATGCAGGCAGTTCCTGGAGGAGAGAAGCAGAATTGATACCATTGAATGGCCCCCACACTCGCCTGACCTAAATCCAATGGAACACCTCTGGGATATCATGTTTTGGTCCATCCGACACCGCCAGGTTGCACCTCAGACTGTCCAGGAGCTCAGTGATGCCCTGGTCCAGATCTGGGAGGAAATACCCCAGGACACCATCCGTCGTCTCATTAGGAGCATGCCCCGGCATTGTCAGACATACATACAAGCACATGGGGGCCATACAAACTACTGAGGACCATTCTGAGTTGCTGCAATGAAATTTCAGCAAAACTGACTAGCCTGCTGCATCATTTATTCACTTTGATTTTTGGGGTGTCTTTGAATTCAGTCCTCTGTAGGTTGATAATTTTCATTTCCATCAAACGATGGGGCATCCTTACATTCCTAACACATTACCTATCCATATCAGTATAGAGATCCAGCAGGAGATTTGTCCCCATTGAGATCTGATGTGTTTTCAAAGTGTTCCTTTAATTTTTTTGAGCCGTGTATATCTCTGACATATTCCGCAGTGCTGTACAGAGAACACAGAGCCAGTCATATCAGTCTTTGTACCAGAGGAGCTTACACTCTAATATCCCCACCACAGTCACACATTATTATTATCATACATTTATATGTCTCTGACATATTCCGCAGTGCTGTACAGAGAACACTGAGCCAGTCACTTTAATGCACCAGGATACACTAGCTATTCCCTTTTCTGTGGAAAGTCTAGATACTTGTTGGTTTAATTATTGGCTTCTTATATCACCTGAGCACATGAGACATTTTTTTTTCCTGTGTTCCCAGCTCCGCCCACTTGTGCAAAGGGAGTGCTGCACTCATTGTTAGATTTTGGCTTCTCATAGCAATTAGAGAGTCTGGTGAGGTCTCTGGGCCTGTGTTCCCAGCTCCGCCTACCTTTTAGGAGAGTGTCATTCTGCTCTCTTTATATACTCCTTTGCCCTGAGTATCAGTTTATAGACTCGGGGTAACCCCGGGTGTTGGGGTGGCGGTGTTGTATCTTCTTCCAGTCCCATGTCAGTTGGCTGTTTGTTCTGTGCTGTCGGCTCGTGGTTCTGCTGAGGAGGGCAGGGCACTCTCGCTTCTCTCACAACCGTCCAGCCCAGCAGCTGCCTCATTGAAGTGCAGAGTGTGCGGTTTGCAGTCAGCAGGTGCAGAAATCCATCAAATACACAAAGTTCTTTAACCATGTCATCGCTGCTGGGCTACTACATGCATGACGTGCACACGCTGCACAGTGCCAAGGATGAGGTGCAAAGCTCAGGCAATCAGATGCCATCCATAGGTTGGTCCACACTTGCCCACCATCCACAGCTAGGTGCACGTCCAGCTCACCACTGAGGATTGTATTTCTGCCAAACAACAGATGAGGGCACGATCCAGAATTTTATTACAATGCGGTACATGGAGGCATGAAAGATCACCAATGGATTTAAAAAAACAGTGCTTACTCTAAGGGCTCGTTAAGACTTGCTGTTGGGGGGGCAATAAAAACACGTGGTTGAGTTTGAATTTTAGCACCCCCTCAAGCTGCAAATGCAGCATATGGGAGTGTTCACACACCACAGTCGCAATGCTTTGGTGTAGTATTTACAGAGTTAAAGTGTTACTAAACCCCGGACTCTGCATTCACTATATCTGGTCTCCCCGGACCCTGCATGCACTATATCTGGTCTCCCCGGACCCTGCATGCACTATATCTGGTCTCCCCGGACCCTGCATTCACTATATCTGGTCTCCCCGGACCCTGCATGCACTATATCTGGTCTCCCTGGACCCTGCATGCACTGGTCTCCCCGTACCCTGCATTCACTATATATCTGGTCTCCCCGGGGGGGTTCCGGACCATTCACTATATCTGGTCTCCCCGGACCCTGCATTCACTATATCTGGTCTCCCCGGACCCTGCATGCACTATATCTGGTCTCCCCGGACCCCGCATGCCTATATCTGGTCACCCTGCACACTATATCTGGTCTCCCCCCTGCATTCACTATATCTGGTCTCCCCGGACCCTGCATTCACTATATCTGGTCTCCCCGGACCCCGCATGCACTATATCTGGTCTCCCACTATATCTGGTCTCCCCGGACCCTGCATTCACTATATCTGGTCTCCCACAGTACATGGAAATGCAATTATTTTAGTAAATATAAACTGCTAAGTACCTTTTCTCATCAGCAGTTAGAGCAGTCTTGTGACTTCAGCAGAGCACTGGTTAAAGCTTGTAGGAGGAGTTTTCTTTCTTCTCTAGGAGGATGCAGAACCCCTGACCTCTGTCTGGACAGTGCTGATTGGCCCTGTGCTGATCACATGCACTTTCCCAAGGAAAAAAAAATACCTCTCTGGCAATGCACACTAAACTGAGCATGTGCAGAAGGGCTACGGGTTCAGTCTGTCTTATCAGCGGTGGACATTTGAACAAGAGGAGGGGCAGAAAAGTCAGGATCACAGCCATTTTACACAGTGCAGTAGATTAACCCCTTAGGTTCCACTGTGAGTATAACAAGCATGCTTTACTGCATATACAGACTGATTTTACTGTTGTGGGTTTAGTAACACTTTAAAACTGGCGGCAAGGATGCATCATATTGCATCCTCATCACCTGTCAAATGCCCCTGAAAAGTGATCTGAACACAGATCACCTTTCAATGGCGCTCCAAACATGCTGAAAATCTAAACATTGTTATAGAGTAACCTCCTAAAATCTGAATCTTCATTGTAAATGCACCCCCCCCCCAACCCTTCTTTCAAACTAGGAGCAGCTGTTTTCAATCTAGAGATCACAATATCCACATCACATATTGCATGTAATTTAGGATCTGATGTCATGTTTTTATTATAGTGTTTTGTAATCTTTTTCCTAAAGTATAAAGTGAATACCAGTCAAAACAAAATACATATCTGTGCAGTGCCCCCCACCTCAATGGTCACATGCTCCTTATGTCTAAGGTGCTCCTGGCTGTGGTCGCACTCCTGCCTCCTCTATGGACAATGTAGTGTTGATAGGCCTGTGTTGTACAAGAGGATCCTCTCCCCCATTGATCAAGCTGTATTTTGTAGTAATCCTCAAGTTGAGAGGCTGCTTCAGGGGCTGATCTGTGTCAGACATTTGTGAACACAGCCAATAATTGTACAAGCACTAGAATTAACCTAATTGTGTCACCTTTGAGCTGGAACCTCAGTCCAGGAAGAAGACTGTGAGCCATGATGATACTTGAACAAGGATGGCTTTGTCGTTCTGAAGAGAAAAGCATGTTTATAAATAACGAGGTGTCTGCTATGTGTGAACATGTTTGTAAATAACGAGTTGTCTGCCATGTGAACATGTTTGAAATAACGAGTGTGTCTGCCACGTGTGAACATGTTTGTAAATAACGAGGTGTCTGCCACGTGTGAACATGTTTGTAAATAACGAGGTGTCTGCCACGTGTGAACATGTTTGTAAATAATGAGTTGTCTGCCATGTGTGAACATGTGTATAAATAACAAGGTGTTCCAGGTGTGAAGATATTTGTAAATAACGAGGTGTTCCATGTCGTGAACCATGTGTGAAATAACGAGGTTTCCACGTGTAATGTTAACGAGGTGTTGCCATGTGTGAACATGTTTGTAAATAACGAGGTGTTCCATGTGTGAACATCTGCCACCACGTGAACATGTTTGTAAATAATGAGTTTGTCTGCCATGTGTGAAGATGTGTATAAATAACAAGGTGTGGTGTGAAGATGTTTGTAAATAACGAGGTGTCTGCCACATGTGAACATGTTTGTAATTAACGACCATGTTGTTTTTTGTAAATAATGAGGTGTCTGCCACGTGTGAACATGTTTGTAAAATAACAGGTGTTCCACGTGTGAAGATGTTTGTAAATAACGAGGCGTTCCACGTGTGAACATGTTTGTAAATAACAAAGTGTCGAGGTGTCTAAATAACAAGGCCATGTGTGAACATGTTTGTAAATAACGAGGTGTTCCATGTGTGAACATGTTTGTAAATAACAGGTCTGTTCCATGTGTGAACATGTTTGCAAATAACGAGGTGTCTGCCACGTGTGAACATGTTTGTAAATAACGAGGTGTTCCATGTGTGAACATGTTTGTAAATAACAGTGTCTGCCACGTGTGAACATGTTTGTAAATAACGAGGTGTTCCACGTGTGAACATGTTTGTAAATAACGAGGTGTCTGCCACGTGTGAACATGTTTCAGTACTAATGTGTGTCCGGCTGATGTCACCTCGCTTGTCTCCATTTCACAATTCCTCACAGTGAGGGCCGCCTCTCACCACCCCCTCTGGGAACAGCCGGCTCTGCATTGGCCTGGCAGACGATGGGGACCTTCCATGATGTCCTTCTTCCATTCCCCAGATGGAGAGCTCTAACCCCCCCCCCCCCCCCCCCCCCCCCCCCCCCCCCCCCCCCTGACAGAATGATTCCCCTGGATAGGAGAGGAGTCGGGGCTGAGGAATTGTGTGTACTGCTGTTATGCGGGCGGCCTCATAAAACTCAGATGTGTATGAAGACCAGGAGCTGAATCCAGGCTGGAACATTTAAAGAGCCCTTGTGTTATAAATGCATGTGTGCGTGTTATAAATGCGTGTGTACGTGTTCTAAATGCGTGTGTCCCGTGTTCTAAATGTGTGTGTCCGTGTTATAAATGCGTGGGTGCGTGTTATAAATGCGTGTGTACGTGTTATAAATGCGTGTGCGTACGTGTTATAAATGCGTGTGTGCGTGTTATAAATGCGTGTGTTATAAATGCCGTACGTGTTCTAAATGTGTGTGTCCGTGTTTTATTAAATGTGTGTGTCCGTGTTCTAAATGCGCGTGTGCGTGTTATAAATGCGTGTGTCCGTGTTCTAAATGCGTGTGTCCGTGTTATAAATGCGTGTGTCCGTGTTCTAAATGCGTGTGTCCGTGTTATAAATGCGTGTGTGTTCCGTGTTTATAAATGCGTGTGTGCGTGTTATAAATGCGTGTGTGCGTGTTATAAATGCGCATGTGCGTGTTATAAATGCGCGTGTCCGTGTTATAAATGCGCGTGTGCCCGTGTTATAAATGCGCGTGCCCGTGTTATAAGTGCGCGTGTTATAAATGCGCGTGTCCGTGTTATAAATGCGCGTGCCCGTGTTATAAATGCGCGTGCCCGTGTTATAAATGCGCGTGTGCGTGGTATAAATGCGCGTGTGCGTGGTATAAATGCGCGTGTGCGTGTTATAAATGCGCGTGTGCGTGTTATAAATGCGTGTGTACGTGTTATAAATGTGTGTGTACGTGTTCTAAATGCAGTGCTTTTTCTTTCTATATTTTTTTTTTTATTCACTTGCAATGTGTCTCTGAATTAGGCAGAAAATGTGACAACTCACAGCCCCCCCCCTCCATCTTTCTACATCATAACTCTTTTCTCTTCTGCGAGTGTCTAATGACTGTCTGTGCTGGCCCAGCTCCTCTGACACTCCCCCTAACTTCCTACATTACCTGTTCTGTAGCTGCCAGGAGTGGCGAGAGTGATAGATCTGAGTCTGCTGGGGCTGTCGACATCACATCCAAAATGTCAGAGTCCAGCAGCAGTCTTGGGTTTTCTGAACAGACTGCTGTCTCTATGAAACAGAGGCTTTCAAACCCTGGGGTGTACGGCCAATAAGGCAACGTGAGGCAACACCGAGGCCAGAGTGCCCATACTAGACATTGGACCTCTGTGTTGTCACCCTGTCACGTGGCCACCTCGAACAGCAGTTAAAGAGGAACTACAGGTAATTTATACAAAAACTGTGAGCATTCAGGTCTTTATGGCAGAAGAGACATCTAAGGCTAGTTCACACCACATGTGTTCCAGTACTTTTTTTTTCTGCAACCAAAATGTATAGACAGTAGGCTACATCCATTTCCATGGAATAGTTCACACCAGTGCTTGCAGTTCCTGTGCAGTGCAAAAACAAAGTTGAACATGCTTCATTTTTTCTGCACAGAGCTGTACTGGAATGCGATTAAACGCATCAAAAGCGCACCGGACCCCAGTACAGTGAGAAAACATAACTGAAAAAAGAAGAAAAAAATCTGAAACACATCAAGAATGCAACAAAAACACACTAGGATGCATCAAACGCACCCGTAACAGATCTGGAGTGTTTTTGTGTAGTGTGAGCTAGCCCTTAATGTAACAAATACTTATGTGCCTGCGTACAGTCTTCTACTGAATGCACACTGAGCTGTGCATGTGCAGCTCATCATGCTTTCCGGGCCTGGACTGTGGCTTTTCCACTTGGACTGTGCCGGAACAACAGACTCCCATGCACATGCCCAGGATGACATCATTATGCCATCAGCCAATATAGAAGCCAAAAATCCGGCACCTGGAAATAGCCAAGGAGAAGATGGCAGTGGCTGGCGAGGAATTTAACTGCCGTTTTGCTGGAATGAGGAGGTGGGTATTTCTTTCAGTTTAGTTCTGCTTTGACTTAGGCACTTGCCTGCATATATCCTAACAGAAAGGTATTTAGTTTGCTTTGTGCAATATGCATCATAAACAATCGTCAATTTTAAATACAATCCTTCTTCCCTCTTTTGTTCTATCTCCATGCTCCTGTCTCTTGCAGCCTCTTTGCAGTCACTTTTGGTCTATATGCACTCTAGCTATGGCATTTCTTAGGTTTTTTTTGTTTGGTGACAACAGTGGACCATGTCTGTGTAATGTGTGTTGAAACGGCCACTTGTATTCTCCATTTGAAGCCTGTGTGAGAGAGTGACAACACAGGAGTGCTATTGGGAAACAGAAACATAGAGTTGTCACCTTCTTGAACAAGGACCTTTATGGCAGGTTCCACAGCGATTATTTTCATGGAAACTACAGGTTCACAAAGAATGAAAATGACTTTTGAAATGACATCAATTTGTTAGAGATTTTGAGATTTCAGTGCTTGTGATTACATATAGGTTACAAATACGGTTAATGACCCCATAATGTTTAGTGAACTGACAGCTCAGTAACCTATAGATGACAAGCTGTGATTGTGCTGGGGGGTGGGGTCACATGTTCACATTTGTCCGAGTTTTTTCTGCTTTTGCTACCA